CGGAACGTATAGCTTATAGTCGAATACATATATTTGTAGTTGTGATTCAAAGACGAGCTCAACTAGATAATGTTTTTCATTGAGTCTTTTTGGTTTATATCGAGTTAAAGGTTCGGATCTGAAGCTTCAAAGATATGATAAATTTGACAGAATTTTTAGAATGCCGTAATATGGACTCTTTTTAAGGAACTAAATCAAAATATCGTTTTAGATTTCGATCGCATTTTGAAACCCGGAAATACACTATTCAACTTATCGGTACCCAATATGTTGATACTCCATGAAATAATATGTGTTCTGATCCCACCTATATCTGAAAAAAAGTAATCAAAGTACCGGCAGAAATATATTCACAAAATTTTTAATATAGGTCCGATTCTGGCCAAAGACCACACCTATAATGGTAGGTAACAATATTTTACAGGGAAAAGCGCATCCAGACAACAAACCACCATAACTATTATGATCATGATCTTTCAGTATTTTGCGGTAAAATGTACTGATACTGTTGTGTGGAAAAAATGGGAAAATTGCGGTATATACGTATTATCCTGTCATTTACTCTGAACTCAATGGATGTGATATAAAGTGACCGATATGGAAATATATTAAAGTTTGAAAAGGGGTCAACATATTTCAATATGGTTTGATATTGGCATTACCACACAAGAGAACACAAATATCACGAAATTTTGCACAGAATTTAGCTCCATCGAAATTTAGATTTCAATAGTAGTTGTGTAGGATATCATATGTTTGGCCCATCCGAATATACTGTCAGTAAGCCAAGTACTTTGAGGGATAAAATGAATTTTACATTTACATTTGTTAAAAAGGTTGGTCCAATAGAGGTTTTTGAAAACTGTAGAAACACCTTCTAAATGTCTAACATGGATTTTTAATATTCGTCGTTTTATTTAAATAATCCTCTATCAGGAAAAACATCACCATTACCGGTAATTCTCTTCTATCTGGAATATGCCATCTTGTCCTTGCAGCATAATCTTGAAATATAATCAATTATAGGCAACTCATTTTGGAAATGGAAGATCGAAAAAATTGCCAACCAATCTAATATATCAACAGATGTATGTATTTGTGTGTGTTCTCACATGTAGTTACACATTTAATCCTATTGAATCACACTTAAATCACACATTTTATATAAATAATCATATAATGATATATATATATATATATATATAAATTTATATACTCCCACATATATAAATATAACATTGACGTACATACATCTACACATATTTGAAAAAGACAAAGCTGTTGTATAACTAAACACTAGGTGGGCTTACAAATTTAATTAATACCCATATGATTTTTATTGGATTAAATCAAACCAAAATCTTATAACAAAAAATAAAAACAAAGACAAAAAACAAAGGTAAAAAATGAGTTCATTAAATTCCATTGTTTAAGATATATTAATGAATTTGTTTTAAGCTTAATTGAAAATTAATTAATTAACACCCTAATATATGTTACGTATGTATGTTTGTTTAACAGGTATGTATGTGTAGGCATCATATAGTACATATGTAGTTATTGTGAAATGAAATGAAGTAAAATAAGATTTTAATAACATATGCAAACACACACCAACACATACGTATACACATACAGATGTAAATCAGCATCATCATCGTCTGTCTATGTATAAAACCTATAGAATCCTATTACCAGCTTATGTAGTTGAAATGCGATTTTTTTGGGGTCACCAGCACGAAATCTGAGTAATTCAGTAATATGGGATTTCACACAAGCATTCACGCACACACACACAAACTACCACTATTATAAAATTGTGTTTTAGTTTAGGTTACACAGGCTTTTCATTAAAATGGAACAAAGCTAAAATTTTGATTTTTTTCTCTGTGTGTTTTGTTTGTTCACCGCTGATGATGTAGAAGTGTTCCATTAAGAGCGTTATAATTAAAAAATCATATAACACAAAAACGCACACACACATGGATATGTGTATGTATTCAAAATTAAGTGGAAATTTAATTGTTTTATTTGAAACGTTGGAATAGGAATAAAAATGAAATCTGTTACACCTTTGCGGAATATAAGTTAGGATTTGTGAATTTTACACACGGAAATTAATAATTTATATATTGCAAAATATTGTGTATAAATGATTAAATGATTGTGTAGTTTTATATTAAAATCATAATGGTTTAATTGGTTTTTAATTGTTGGTTGCCAAATGCAGGCCCATGTGTGTGTACAAAGCTTTGGAATAGCTTAATTTAATTATAGAATTACGGAATCACATACAAAATCGGAAATTATTTAGTGGTGTTTTATAGGCAAATACCATAGCAAGTCATGAATATTTGTAAGGACCCTAAAAAGTTGTGGAATTTTGTACAAGGATATCATAAAAGAATATGGATTACTTTAAAAATATATTTTTAAAGGACATCCAAGTTTTTTTAAGGACTTTATAAGGCGTGGATTTTTTGCAAGGACTGTCAGACAAATAAACGTGGATTTCTTAAAGGATATTTTGCAAATATTGTCCGAAAAGTTAGTGTGGATTTTTTAAAGGATATTTTGCAAGGACTGTCAGACAAATAAGCGTGGATTTTTTAAAGGATATTTTGCAAGGACTGTCAGACAAATAAGCGTGGATTTTTTAAAGGATATTTTGCAAGGACTGTCAGACAAATAAGCGTGGATTTTTTAAAGGATATTTTGCAAGGACTGTCAGACAAATAAGCGTGGATTTTTTAAAGGATATTTTGCAAGGACTGTCAGACAAATAAGCGTGGATTTTTTAAAGGATATTTTGCAAGGACTGTCAGACAAATAAGCGTGGATTTTTTAAAGGATATTTTGCAAGGACTGTCAGACAAAGGATATTTTAGAAAGATTGTCAGACAAATAAGCGTGGATTTTTTAAAGGATATTTTGCAGGGACTGTCAGACAAATAAGCGTGGATTTTTTAAAGGATATTTTGCAAGGACTGTCAGACAAATAAGCGTGGATTTTTTAAAGGATATTTTGCAAGGACTGTCAGACAAATAAGCGTGGATTTTTTAAAGGATATTTTGCAAGGACTGTCAGACAAATAAGCGTGGATTTTTTAAAGGATATTTTGCAAGGACTGTCAGACAAATAAGCGTGGATTTTTTAAAGGATATTTTGCAAGGACTGTCAGACAAATAAGCGTGGATTTTTTAAAGGATATTTTGCAAGGACTGTCAGACAAATAAGCGTGGATTTTTTAAAGGATATTTTGCAAGGACTGTCAGACAAATAAGCGTGGATTTTTTAAAGGATATTTTGCAAGGACTGTCAGACAAATAAGCGTGGATTTTTTAAAGGATATTTTGCAAGGACTGTCAGACAAATAAGCGTGTATTTTTTAAAGGATATTTTGCAAGGACTGTCATATAAATAAGTGGATTTTTTAAAGGATATTTTAGAAGGCCTGTCAGACAAATAAGCGTGGATTTTTAAAGGATATTTTGCAAGGACTGTCATATAAATAAGTGGATTTTTTAAAGGATATTTTACAAGGACTGTCAGACAAATAAGCGTGTATTTTTTAAAGGATATTTTGCAAGGACTGTCAGACAAATAAGCGTGTATTTTTTAAAGGATATTTTGCAGTGTCATATAAATAAGTGGATTTTTTAAAGGATATTTTGCAAGGACTGTCAGACAAATAAGCGTGGATTTTTAAAGGATATTTTGCAAAGACTGTTAGACAAATAAGTGTGGATTTTTTTAAAGGATATTTTGCAAGGACTGTCAGACAAATAAGCGTGGATTTTTTAAAGAATATTTTGCAAGTACTGTCCGACAAATAAGCGTGGATTTTTAAAGAATATTTTGCAAGTACTGTCCGACAAATAAGCGTGGATTTTTAAAGAATATTTTGCAAGTTCTGTCCGACAAATAAGCGTGGATTTTTTAAAGTATATTTTGCAAGGACTGTCAGACAAATAAGCGTGGATTTTTTAAAGTATATTTTGCAAGGACTGTCAGACAAATAAGCGTGGATTTTTTAAAGTATATTTTGCAAGGACTGTCAGACAAATAAGCGTGGATTTTTTAAAGAATATTTTGCAAGGATTGTCAAACAAAAAAAGGATCTCAAATTTTTAGGATTTTTAAGAACCTTCAATGGAATGTTTACAAAATATTGCAAAGTACCTTTATTGGATTTTTTAGGCTTTTTAAGGACCTCCGTTGGCATTTTTAGAATATTTAGTCAAGAACTTTCATAGCCAGGAGCTTAAAAAAATTTTTTGAGACTTTTTTCCAAGGAACTCCGTTTGCATTTGTATAAATATTTTTCTGGGATTTCCATTGAAGTGATTGTTCAAGGACATCCATGTTTAGAATATTTATTTTCCTATTCTTTAGACTATTTTTCAAGAACCTCAATTGAAATTTTTATTATTTTTTCAAGGACCTTCATTGGAAATTTAAGAATGCTTTGTAGAGGTCCTCTAAATAACATAGAATATTAATTTATATTAAAGGACCTCCATTGAAATTTTTATGCCATTTGCAAAGTGTCTTCTAGGACTTCCATATACATTTTTAGAATAATTGGTCAAGGAATTTCATTTAGAATTTTTATAATATTTTGTCTAAAATTTGTGGATTACTAAAAAATTGTATAGGATCTCCAATAGTCTTCGACGTTTTGGAAGATGCTTTCTAGGAGCTCTATAGATATAGAAATTTTGGATAGTTTTTAAGTATATCCAATGGAAAGTTTTAGAAGGAAAAATCTATTATGGACCTCCATTGGAATTTTGAGAATATTTTTAAGAAAGTCCTTTTGTCAAGGGCCCTAATAGACTCAGAAATGTTTGAATATTTGTTTCTAAGACCTCCAAAATCAAATTTGTAGAAAATTACGTTTCCCAAAATCGGTATGTATTCGTCTGTGTAATAAATTCTTAACCAACAAACAAACTTAAAAATAATAAAATAAAAATCATGTACTTACATAACTTACCATATGGCCCCAATTGGGCAGCCACACGAACTCGTTCGATTACCACTGGTGGATCGCTACGGCCTTTGGCATTAACAGCATAGACAAGAAATTGATATTCACGACCGGGTTCTAAGTTATTTAAACGAAACTGGGGATTAGGTTCTTGCATACGAAAGATGGGTGCCGATGTTGCCTGAAACGAAAGCAAAACAGAAAGAAAACAAAAAGAGAAAGATTTTAGTATTAACTAAAACATGGCTATTAGCTAAAATAATGGTAATATGGTTAGACATAGTTCCGATATACAAAAAATATACTAGGATTGGAGCATCAACATTTTTTTGGTACTACATCCTCTCCAAACAACAATTCAAGCATAAAGTGTCTAGCTAAGTTTGAACGTCAAAGTTCAGTCAAGCATCAAACAAAATAAAACAATTTCTACCCTCCATACGAAAAAGGGAACACAACATAACAACAACAGCAACAACGTTAACAAAACTTTGCTTCCAATTTTTGGGATTTATGAAAATAAATCCCAAGTTAAGTAAGGCTAGCCAATATATAGCAGTGGCCAGGATAATAGACAGGGACAAGCAGGATAGTTTGGAGAAAACATAAACATATCCATGTCCAAGAAATATGCATTTCACCTAGAACAACAAAAACTAAAACTTTTGTTGTTGTTTTTGCTGCTATTGTTTCCCAGAAAAATAATTATTCATGCCTGAAAATGTTATTAGAAAGTTTTTCGGTTATATGCTATCTCCCTGCAGCATATATTCACACACATCATCACATAGAGACAGAGACTCATACACACACACTCTGGAATTTTTGATTCGTTTGTTTTCGATGTCAGATCAGAGATCAAACTAAAAATTTGATTTTTTGTAAAATAAAAGTAAAGCAAATGGTATAAAAATGTATATTTTTAAACAAACGTACCTAAAATTTTGCGGGACTTTTAAAGAGCATGGACCTATATTAAACTTTTTGCTGGGAAGAAGTATTTTACTCACCAAAAAACCTGGAATGCCAAATTAAGTGGCTTTAATATGGGGGTCGGCTCTAAAACATTCAACGTACCAAAAAAGTGGACCAATCTGATAATTTTTGAGAAGCCAAAATATCAAAATTACAACCAATTGGGTGCAGAAAACGTGCCTAAAGAAGAATGGAGGATTATAGAGGCGGATATATGGGGGACTGACCCCAAACTTGAATTAATAGATATAATTTTCGGTAGGATGATGTGAACACAAAATAACAAATTAAAGCCAAAAGTGTCAGTCGGTGTTGTCGACAGATATATGCCCTCAGACTATGTCATTTATCCATGTATAAAATCGAGGTGGATAATTTTTTATTAAATTTAAAATTATTGACCTGAAGGTAGTCTCAATCAAAAACCTAGTGGTAGCCTCCATTGAAGACTTGGAGGTAGTCTCCCTAGACTTTTAAAGAGCATGGACCTATATTAAACATTTTCTGGGAAGAAGTATTTTATTCACCAAAAAACCTGGAATGCCGAATTAAGTGGCTGTAATATGGGGGTCGGGCCTAAAACATTCAACATACCCAAAAAGTGGACCAATCTGATCATTTTTCAGAAGCCAAAATATCAAAATTACAACCAATTGGGTGCAGAAAACGTGCCAAAGAAGAATGGAGGATTATAGAGGCGGATATATGGGGACTGACCCCAAACTTGAGTTAGATAGATATAATTTTTGGTAGGATGATGTGAACACAAAATAACAAATTAAAGCCAAAAGTGTCAGTCGGTGTTGTCGACAGATAAATGCCCTCAGTTATCCTGATTTTCGTAAGCTATTTTGAAGGTTTACGGAATCCATGTATAAAATCGAGGTGGCTAATTTTTTATTAAATTTAAAATTATTGACCTGAAGGTAGTCTCAATCAAAAACCTAGTGCTAGCCTCCATTGCAGACTTAGAGGTAGTCTCCATAGACGATCTTAAGGGAGTCTCCAATAGAAGACCTGAAGGGAGTTGGATATCACTTCCCATGCATCCAAATGAGTATCTATAAACGTCATTTGGAGGAGCTCCATATAGGAACTGAAGGGAAACTCTATATAGCCTCTCGTCTTCGACATGTAGGAAGGCTCCACTGAAGAAATTTCATTGCCCTGAAAAGAGTCTGTATGGATGATTTGGAGATTTATTGTAACCGATAGTTCCACTAAATATATGGTTATTATAAATAATAGGGTCAGAACCAATTGCTGTGAGAGGGGCTGCATAGACGACCTGGAGGGTGTCTCCCATAGACGACCTGGAAAGAGTCTCTATGGACGAGTTGGATATCTCTTCCTATGCATCCAAATGAGTATCTATAAACGTCGTGGAAGGAGGTTCCATATAAGACCTGAATGGAGCCTCCATAGACGACCTGAAAGGGAGTTTCAATTGTCCTGAAACGATTCTCTATATACGAGCTGGATATTTCCTGTATAAATGATAGGGTCAGAACCAAATCCTTTGTGGTCTGAAGTTGGCAGAATCTATTACTCACAATAAATTAAGTGGACTATCGCTTACAGGAAATATTCAGCCCTACAGTCCTACAGCTACAGAGTCAATTGTGATTGCCTTCAGATAGACGACTTGAAGAGAGCCACCCATAGACGACCAGGAGGGAAGGAGTATCTATGGACGAATTGTATATCTTTCCCTATGCATCCAAATGAGTATCTATCTACCAATAGGTAGGTTTAGAACCAAATCATGTGTGGTCTGAACTTGGCAAATCTTATTATGGACTATCGGTTACTGGAAATATCCAGCTCTTCTATAGAGCCTGTTTCCAGTTGTGACTCCCTATAGGTTGCCTAGGAATCCTTTATTCTTTCTATTTTTTTGTGAAAGTGTGAACCATCTTTCAGATGAGACGGTTTGGATCTATGTCAGGTCAACCATGGAATCCTTTAATAAATTTCTATTTTTTTATCAAAGAGTTTAGAATCTGTGGTATAGTTCCAAAAGATGTTGCCATATAGACCTCATCTTCGGATTTAAAGTATGTTGGGGTAAAATATTACAATGGCTAATCAATGGTTCAAATCGGATTCTCCGTTTTCTTTATATGCAATTTACAAATTTTTAAAAATATGGGACAGGTACCAAATTGTGTACGCCGAAGGGTCCCACCATCTATAAAATCAGAAATTAAAGTTGTTTTATATTGGATTTATTTTTTTCACATTTTAACAGATCAAATGGAGTAGACTGATGGGTCCTATTTACTGATGGGATACAGTAGACTGATGGGTCCCATTTCTCTAGGTTTGTTAAGTTGTGATCTTAGTCGATTATTTTATATTTGATTATTTGATACTAGCCAATATTTGATTTATTCCAGCTAAGTATATAATTGGTTTACACTAGCCTGTCCTAGGTAATGGAGCTGCCTTCTATCGTAGCCTAGAAACAACGGCCTTGCTTATTTAGTATTGCCAATGAATACACTTTGAAGAATTGTATGCGGCCTATCGGTTTGTAGTGGTCCCAGTAGCCTGTACGAGGTGACGAGACTGTCATCTATCGTAGCCTAGAAACAAATTCTTCCTGAAAAAACGGCTGCAGATTGCTTATTCGATTTGGGTGGGCTCTCGTCCAAGAAGGAAGGAATTTTCCACCTGCAGACCATGAGCTTGATTTTGGTCCCAGCAGCCTGTACAAGGTGACGAGACTGCCATCTATCGTAGCCTAGAAACAACAATTTTGGGTGGGCTCTCGTCCAAGAAGGAAGGAATTTTCCACCTGCTGACCATGAGCTTGATTTTGTATCACAGTATTATCAAGGCCTTTAGTTTTCAAATAATTGCAGCAGGTCGACTAAGAAGGAAGGAATTTAATTATCTGAAAATCCCACTAAAAATGTTTCATACCAAAATTATATTTTCGACATTCAGCCCCCTTTATGTTGATAACAAACTTTAATCGAATATCCATACAGCCCATCCCTGATGGTAATGTTGTTATTGAAAACATTTGGTAACTAAATGGACTCATACATCTCCACACAAATACATACACACAAACCTATACGAATTCTAATGATTGCCATGGCAATATAGAATATCTATGCTACACTTGAATAGTTGGGATAGATATAAAGAAAATATCCTGCAATCATTTGAACAGATGACCGATGAGTATCCTTTTTTTTGGGTAAAAATATTCAAAACTTTTTGCAATGATGATTGCTAAGCAACTGTTCACATGCCTGACTGCCTGCTTTCCTGCTCGGCTTGCTAGTTTATAGGCAATTTTAATGAAATTTACTATTTCGGCACCAAATGTGATATCCTCTGGACATGTTTTTGTTGGTTTGTTTGTTATCTTCTAAGCATGTAAACCCCCCAAAGATTTTTTGAAAATATTCTTGAAAATGAGTGGAGAGTACAAAAACAAATATAACTATAACTTAGAATATGAATATGCCAAGTTAAAAAGGCAAACAGTTTTAAATAAATGGCATCATTGATGGGCAAAACAAATCCCCAAAAGGACCCCGGATAGATTTGATGGCGAGAAGGCAGGCTGATGAGGTGATGGCATGCGTATGTGTTCTCAGCTGTTAGTTGATGCGTTACGAATTTCAGTTAATATGCTAAAATATTTCACAATCACAACACACACACAAATGATGGCCATTCATATTTTGCCCTCAAAATCGAAATTTTGGGCAAACAAATACTAAATGGTAACAAATAAATTTACTACTCCTTTACGCTTCGGTGGCTGGCTCGCCAACTGGGTGAATGGTTGGCTGGCCGGCTGAAGTGGCCGTAGGACTTTTACTATGAATTACTTTACATTTGTTATTAATTTGATCATTTTTGTTGTTGATAGGGGGCACATGGTGAACTTTGGAATAAATATAAGCAATTTACAAACTACCATATTCCCTCTCTTCATACAAAGGCCACGATTCCCCAACAAAAGGCCAGCAAACACACACAGAACAGCAAAATTTTCGTACACAAATAAAATCCCATAAATATTAAATACGAATGAACAATGAACCGACGGACTGCGTTGCTTGCTGTTTTTGTTCTTTTACTTTGTTGCCTTAGGTCAACATTTTTGAAGATTTTGAATAATTCAAAATGAGAAAAATACAAAAAAACTTTTGAAATAAAAAGTTAATAATTTCCCACAGGTACATGGAGGGCGAGATTATTGTTTTGTTTTCCTTTCGGTAGATATTTGTTTTAAATATTGAAATAATTTTTTGAATATTTTTTATTCTTTTGTTTCTTTGTCTCACCTGATCATTCATAGTGGAAATTTCATTTTCTCCTGGATTTGCATCATTGAAACTCCGGGTTGCATCATTTCCCCCAAACAAAGGATCACCGCCAACAACTTCCAGTACGAAATACTGTGACAGGCCACCATCACTGCCGGCAACACAAACCACTTCCAAAACGGTGTCATTACGGAGTTCGCATGACCTGGGCGCCTCAGGTGGATCTGCAAGGAAAGAAATAAAAACACATTCAGTAAATTGCAGAATTTGAATAAAGGTTCAGAATTGTTTATAAAGCCCAGTTTCAGTTACTTCAAAGTTCTCTAAATCGACTTTTTGGAGTTTCCATTGATTTAATACCTCCTAGCTGAAGGATATCCTATGCCAATAAAATTGTACCCCTTTGGTTTATATACACAATTTCGGATTTTCGATGAGACAGGACTTATTTATTTTTTACATAGGCCCATATTTTCGATTTTTCGAAGCACATTGGGTATAGAAACTTTATAGACATTTTTGAGATTTTAAATACAGTCGCCTTTTGTATCAGTATCGGAACTCTTTGCTCACAAAGCATCCCGATCTTACTCGATTATTTCATTATTTTGATAATTTCACTGATGTTATTCCAGCTAAGTATGCGATTTGTTTATTCTATCCTATTATAAATGATGAAAATGCCATCTATCGTAGCCTAGAAATAACACTTAATTGAATTCTGTACACTGGTTGGAATCCTTGCTTACTTAGTGTTGCCATATTTTACTCTGGATGGCGCTATCTCTTGACTTTCCAATTTTGTGTTATACTCATATGTTGAAGTTCATGCTTTGAAAAAATGTCTCCTCCTTCGATGAGATATGAATCCGAAAACTATCGCTTTGTAGTCTGGCCCACGACAGCCTGTCCTAGCTGATGGGACTGCCATCTATCGGAGCCTAGAAACAACTTTGTCTTTGATTTTTGCAATGGTTGCGATCTTTGCTCACATTAATAGTTTGTTTTATCCTCATGTACTGGTGTAGATACAGAGGATGTTTTTTGGACACAATTTTATGACTCGATAGGCACTTAGTCACGAATTGTGTCCAAAATCTCTTTTCTCGATGAAGATGTCGATTTTCCTATTTTCGATTTCGTTAATTAGGTTTTCAACTTTTACCAACCAACTTGAAGTCAACTAATAGATTTCGGTCATTGCGGAAGGAACTAGTTCAAACGATTTTTTGGAAAAGGAACAACCGGTACTAGGTCCTATTCCTTAGTACATCTAGTTCCATTATTTTCAATCATTTTACTTTCTTTCTTCTAGTTCCATTTGAGTCAATCGTTCATTTAGATCTCCCCGTCATTGAACGAATTAACTGACGCACGCCAATGATCCGGACTATGGAACTAAATGAATTATATATAAAAAATGTATACCACTTTTGCAAGGAGATTGTCCAACTCTAAAACTAAAGTCAATTTTCGAATTTCCCACTATCAAAACCCCAATCTCGTCATGGGGAAAACCCTTTGAATAGGTTACATATGTTACTAATTATAATTTTTTATTTTATTTTAAGTGTTCAAATACTTACTTGCTGGCAATATATGCACCAGACACGGTGTTGTTTGACGACCCACAGCATTACTCGCCCAACATGCCAATGTTATTAGTTCGGAATCGGTTTGTGGCAGGTACGTTACCGTGCTCACCAGACCATTCGATTGTATTCTCGAATTCAAGACCTGGAATTAAGAAACAAACAAAGAAGAATATAAATTAAAATGTATTAAGGGTTCATTGAGTAACTTTGGCATACAGGGAAAAAAGTTAAATTAATTTACTACATAACCTCAATCCTTATTCATTTTAATTCTATTCAGAAATTAAGATATTCCGAGGTCCCAAAAAAGAAATTTATTTCATCAATACTATCATTTGAGCTGTATTTCATTCTATTATGAATACTAAGAAATGGTCATTTGACTTGAGGCTCTCTTTTATGAACCATGGGGTTCAATTTGAACTGAAGTGTCCACAATTATCTAAAGAATGTTTCTTATTGAATATGAGCATTTATTATGAACACTAGAAAGAAAGACAGGCAACGTAATGAATAATATATTTTATTGTGAATCCAAATTTTCCCTACTATATTACGAAATGGGCATCAATGTTTTGTTGTTCAAAATAAATTGAAACATGAGAGTTTACAGTTCCTTGTGAACTACAACGTTCATTATGAACCTGTTTAAAACATTGGGCTTATTTTGAATTATAGGATAACATATTTACTACATATTTAATAATGAAAAATAATCATTATTAGGGAATATACAATGGATCACAGTGAGCAACATGATTCATGGGGATCATGCCCAACCTTGGTTCAATTAAAGCCGTGAATCATAATCTGCAACAACGCTTATGAATTATTATGTAGTATATATTACTTCGGGGGTCACTATGAAAAACTTACCCACTGTGAATCACATAATTGTTTTTCAGATCGTATCATGAACCACATAATACAGAAAATTCAGTATAATTCACAGAAAAATATAATATTTTCCATGAACTACTAAGTTCACTACGAAACACGAGACAACTATAATATTGTTCATGCTATTTTTATTAAAAAGTTCAGTAGAACCGTTCATCGTGGACTAAGAAGATTTATGAACCTAAATCTAAAACCATAATAATTGTGGACTTACAAATCAAATAGTGTTTCATATATGAATCATTTTAATTTAGTTTAGTAAAATACGATTCAATATGAGCTGCTGGATCCATTTCAAGGATGACTTTGCTTTTCTCAAAGGTAGTTGATGCTATAATGAGTTTTCTAGCCATTGAAACAGTAGGCATCGCTAAGAAGATAAATCAATTTAAATAATAATTAGTTAATGGATTCAAAATTAATTTTTGGGTTCATTGATGTGAACCTCTGAGTATACTATGAAAGGACCAGAGGGTTCATTATGAATCATACTTTTCTGTAGTAAAATGTGTTCAAAATAAAACATTCTATTCAGAATGAGTCGCAGGATTCGCTACACTGGTGTTCTGACATTTCAAAAGAGTACGAACTAACTGAAGTTAGAATGGATTCATGGTCGGATAGAAAATTGAACTTCAGTGCTCTAGATTTTCTTAAGGATTCATTAAAATGAACCATGTGAACAAAGCAACTGTAACGGATAAGTTTCATTATGAATCGTTGGATTCATTTCTATGAACCAACATTATGTCCTACAATCCTTGAAATTTATAACCCGTGAGTTCAGAACGGGTTGAATTCAGTGTACGATATAATATGAGCTGCTGGATACATTTCAAGGATGCTCAAAGGTATTTAGAATACTAATTGGTGCTACAATGAGTTTATAACCACTGAATTTACTGCGAACGACCCCAGCTCATTATTATGAACCGTAGGAATCGCTATGAAGGTAAAACAGTTCGAACAAAAAAGAGTCAATGGTTTCAAAATGAATGGTTGGGTTCGTTGATGTGAACCTCAGATGCACTATTTTATTATAGATCATATGGCTCATTGTGAATCATAATTTAATTTTTAAAAGGTGAGGTTTAAATGGTTTCATACCCGCAATTAGTAAGCTAATCTAGGACATCAAGGTTCGTTATTATGAATCGCAGGGTTCACTTCAATTTGAACTCCTCCCACTTTGTTTCAATATAAACCACAGAAACAGCGGGATCAATACGAAAGTGCAAAACAGTGTGGATCACTTGATCCATTACACGGGCACTTTAGATGCTCTTAAAAATATTTAGAATGCGAATAGGGGTTATGATTCAATTGATTAGGTTCATTATTATGAACCGTAGGAACCAAGCAACCATGTTTTACTGGATTCATTATGAATCGATGGGTTCATTTGTATGAACCATTGGATTTAATTCATTATAAATAACATAGTTCTGATTCAGATATTCATTATAATAAGTACATTATTTAAAAGGCAACCATAATCCTTTTAATTTGCTTTTCCATATGCACATTATGAAATAACTCCCATATACATATGACAAATTGCTCTTTTATGAATATGTTTGCAGCAATGGACATAATGATAAATATGCTTCTTATCCTCCTTAACCTTAATTGTATGCAAATACATAGAGAAAAAAGGAGAAAACTTTACTCAAAAAGGATTTCCTTAATTAGATCTAAATATGGAAAAATATACAACAAGTACCAGCAACATCTCCCATGCGTCCATGTGCTTCAGAATATGTCAACTGAAACCCATTAACCCACTTCTATGTAAAACTTCATTCCATTGCATCCAAAGAATCCTGGTACTATTATAGAATTGCAGTGGCACACACACACAAAACGAAATGAATCACTTCAGAGTAAATATTTGATGGAGAGAAAAATATTTGTTGTTCAAGTGGTTCTCGGTTGGTTCGATTGTGCACTTGGTATCGTATCGTTGCCATATAAATATATAAATTTATCAGACATTAACAATAAATTACCAATTCTGTCACAAACACATATACAACTTTTCAGACATACTGAGAAAGTTTGAAAAAAGCTATCAAATACATAGACACACACACACACCTGTGATGCAACAGAAAAATTGTCATCATCACCGATGTCCTCGTGGTTCTCGTTGTCTGTGTGTCAGTTAAATTATAGTTTTACTCTTTGTATTGTATTGAAAACTAAGTATGAATGACAAACACAAATACACACATAGATATATGTGTGTTTGTATACATATACTAGCTAGACAAATAAACCAATCTTCATTATAATTCATTGAGAGTTGAACTCAAGTGCAATGAATGAATGAACGAACATCAGAATGAATGAAGAATGTATGGTACACCTCGTGAGGTCCTGACTTCCTTTTCCATTCATGTGCTCACTCACACTTGTACATTTGCTGTGTATGTATGTAGTAATGGCAATTGGTTGAATGCCAAAAGACAAGTGCAAGTCCTTTTGTAAGCCAATATAACCCCATGAATGGCTTCCATACACACACACACACTTTGACACATCCAAGCTCACATTGGTTATTGATCATATTTTTTCGGGTAGAGCAAAAGACCACTTTTCAATAGATTATAAATAATTTATAAAATTCGATTAGGTCCCAAGCCAAGTCACGTATATTTGTATGCATGTTCTGGTAGTTGGCTGTCTACAATTGTTTGACTGGCTATATATCTGTCCGTCTGTCTACATGTCTCCGGTGACTACTCTGAGACTGAGTCTGTATGAAGGAATGTTTGAATGAATGACTCTTTGTCTATCTGTCTGTTTGATTGTTTGTGCTGTTGTTGTTTTTTTTTTTGTTCTCTTTGTACCACTTTTGATATTGTTGCAAAACTTTTGTAAGCTCTCTGAGGGGGGGTTTTCATCTACTTCTACTTTTGTGCACTGCCAGCCAGCAAACATTCCAAGGGCTACACTTGTGTATTGGCATTTGAAGTCAAAAGGTTATTTCAAATTGCCAAAAAAAAAAAGAAAAGAAAAACTTGGACAAATGTTATTAGTCCAGACATTTGAGTATGGAGTATTCACAGTGGTTTTGAAATAAGTAATTAAAATTCAATTTGAAATCATATTGTTTATTATACAAGTTCTCATTTTTTTTAAAAATAGAGGTACAACATTTTGTCGATTCATTAAAAAATAGGGATTTGCCCAAAAATGAATACGAAGTCTAATTTTACCCAGTACATGTTAATATGAAACTCTGAAACGGGTTATGTCTATCCGGAATGAACTTGTTCAAAGTAAATAATCTCCAATTGGAATGATCGGTACTAGTTTCGATTTTGCTCACCAACTTTTATTTGATCCTGACGTTTTCTAGTTCAAGGTTGCCCAATTCTAGGGAATGGTTATGAACCATAATGTTATAATATTGAACCATATGAATAATTCGGAATCACTCGTTTCAGTATAACACTCATAAAATAAAAGTGTTCATTGCGAACTCTTTTGTTTAGAAACGGGTTATGTCTATCCGGAATGAACTTGTTCAAAGATCGGTACTAGCTTCTATTTTGCTCACCTACTTCTATTTGATCCTGACATTTTCTAATGCAAAGTTGTCCAATTCTAGGGAATAGTTATAATGTTCCTCATTAAATAGAGAGTGCATTGCATTTCAATTTATTACAATTCATGAGAATCCGTATAAATCAAGGTTATAATATTGAACCATACTAATAATTCGGAATCAGTCTTTTCAGTATAACACTCATAAAATAAAAGTGTTCATTGTGAACTCTTTTGTTTAGAGTGTTTGTGATTAAGAACAGACACTATGGACAGATTGTCCATAGTGTTCAATAATAAGTGGACTCGTATTAGCCGTTGTGTTCGTTGAGTTCCTTACTATGAATCAATTAAAAAATATATCCTTAGTTTTTAGATTCGAACTGTTCATTATTATGTACACCATGTTTCACTATGACCTCCAACGTATTATTTCCGATAATATTTACACAACTAAAACACATATTTTTTTTAAGAAATCCAGTAGGTTTTATTACATAGAATTACAATAATGGCTGGATATTGATAACTAGCATGTGCCCGCAACTTCGTTAGCGAATGTAGGAAATACCTAAACATGTATTAACATGTTGTTTTAATATAGACCATAAATTATATTTGAGTACCAATTAGTACCAAATTTCATGATTCGAGCTCTAAACGTTCATTCAAATCCAAATTTGACCAAATTTAGTTCCATTTAGCACACATTATTTCAAAATTGAACCAAATTTAGTACACAGTAGTACATATTTCCAAAACGTCTTACTTACCCCAAATCGACAATTCGGGCTTCAGGATTCCAAATCTATCGATTCACCTACAATTCCAATTGTACCAAATTTAGTACATAGTTGTACCAATTTCCAAAACTTCCTACATACCCAATCCTAAACCCCCACAGTGATCCTAAATCGAAGTTCCTAGATTTCAAATTTATAGGTTGACCCATAATAAAAATTTTACGAAATTTAGTATACAGTAGTAGGAATTTCCAAAATTTCCTACTTAACCCAAACCAACACCCCCATAGTGATCCTAAATATATGTTTCAGGATTCAAATTCTACCGGTTCACCCACAATTCAAATTGTACCAAATTTGGTACACATTAGTACAAATTACCAAAACGTCTAACTTACCCCAAATCTACACCACCCCAGTGATCCTAAATTCGGATTTCAGGATTCCAACTTTATCGATTCACCCACAATTCCTATTGTACCAAATTTAGTACATAGTTCTACCAATTTCCAAAACTTCCTACATACCCTAATCCTACACCCCCACAGTGATCCTAAATCGAAGTTTCTGGATTCCAACTTTATCGGTTGACCCATAATAAAAATTGTACCAAATTTAGTACACAGTAGTACGAATATCCAAAATTTCCTACTTAACCCAAACCAACACCCCCACAGTGATCCTAAATCTATGTTTCAGCATTCAAACTTTATCGGTTCACCCACAATACAAATTGTACTAAATTTGGTACACATTAGTACAAATTTCCAAAACTTCCTACATACCCCAATCATACACCACCACAGTGATCCTAAATCCATGTTTCAGGATTCAAACTCTATCGGTTCACCCTCAATTTAAATTGTACTAAATTTAGTACACAGTAGTACGCATTTCTAAAACCTCCTTCTTACAACAAACCTGCACTTCCACAGTGATCCTAAATCCAAGTTTCAGGATTCCAACTCTATCGGTTGAACCACAATTTAAATTGTACCAAATTTAGTAGACAGTAGTACGAATTTCCAAAACTTCATACATACCCCAATTCTACAACTCTACAGTGATCCTAAATCAAAATTTCAGGATTCCAACCCTATCGTTTCACCCACAATTCAATTGTATTTATTACACAATAGTACACATTTCTAAAACTTTCTACATATCTCAATTTTACATCTCAACAGTGATCCTAACTCAAAATTTCATGATTCCAGCTCTATTGGTTCACCTAAAATTCAAATTGTACTAAATTTAGTAGCATTTAGTACACATAAGTATTATTTTTTTAAACTAAATCCTGACCCCCAATTCCACACCCCTACAGTGATCCTGACTTCAAATTTCATTGTTCCCGCTCTATAGGTTCACCCAAATCCAAACTGTACTGATTACAGTACGATTTAGTATTTTTCGCACACATATTTAACAAATTTCCAAAACTACGTTCATATCCCCATCGGTAATTTTAATTTAAAATTTCAAAACTATTGAAAAAGGTTCCTCATCGTGAATAGGAGAATTTAGAGATTAGTTGTTTCAAAACAAACAAGTTCATTGGAACTATTGACAGGATGCGGTCAATATTTTCAATTGTTTATAATATTCGGAGCAGCATATGCGAAATTTACTGTGAATTTGTTAATAGCATATTCCATGAATAATTCCAAGGAAAAAAATTCACATTAACAGAATTTCCACTAATGAGAATTTTGAAATATATTTTCAAAAAAAATATCGGCATTGCGAATTCCATGGAAATATCCCACAACAAAATTCTTAGAAATTTTAATTTTCGAAATACCTATCATTCACTGTACAAAGTAAGAATCAAGAGAAACCCCTGTTTGCCCTTTGGTCAGTCAACTATGTTTTCATCGATGTTTTCATTAAATATTTAGCAAAACTCAATAATTGTTGTTAGCAAAGTAGAAGAAGAAACTTGCAACTAAAGTCGGCAGACATTCATTTATCCTGTTCTTAGTACGTTTCGAATCTCGTCTTCACTTCTGTTTGCGTTCATTGTCATCGAATGATGAGTAAAACCTCTCGTCTGTTTGTTTGTTTATTTTCCTTTTGAAATTGCAGCAGCATCTTTTGACTTTTCTTTGTGGTGCTACTTTGTGATGCTGCTGCTCTTTGTCGCATTACTCTAGGGGATTTGTGCGAAAGGAGCATAGAGATGTGTGTGTGTGTGTGTGTGCATGTGACTGTGTCATTGAATGTTTGTAGAGGCTCTTTGATTGCTTATAGATTTGCTGTTGTCTCTCCGAATGAATGAATGTATGTATGTGCAACGTAAATACCATAAAGGATTCCGAACATAAGTTGCTATTCTGTCATTTGATATTCTAAGAAGCCAAAAATGTAAAAAAGGGGGACCAAAAGGGTCAATACACATAATTTAGTTTTCCTCTGTCGATCTCAATTTTTAATATGTTACAATGGCCATGGAAATGCTTGGAAATTTATGGTAAATGGTCATATGTTCGGAGGACTCAAGGGTCATGCACTATTTCTTCTTAGGAATAAGTTCACCCTAGTTGCTTACACACATGAACTGAAGAGGTCAACTAGATGGAATTTCAAAAAAGAGGAGGAAGGAAATATAAATGATGTGAAAACAGAATTATCTTCCACAAACACACATGCATCACACACTTGCCCACGTGTGTGTGTGCGTTTTGTAGCAGATGACCCAGCTGCATAGAAAAAGGTTATTCATTCAGTATTTTTCTGTCTACTTACGGGTGACACATTTCTTGTATTGTTATAGGTCCAACTAAATTTCACCGAATCTGGTGGATCAGCATCAACTTCACATTTGACCGGTATTGAGTGCATATTTATGGCGCCAATGGATGTTTGTTCGGTGCCCGGTTTACAGCGGGGTGAATCTGCAAGAAATAAGAAATAAAAAGAAAATCAGAGGAAATGCACAAATATAAAGAGTGAGTATTAAAAGCAAAAAAACATGACTCTCTGGCATGAATATTTTATAATGCACACATGTGAGTATGTGTAAGCACATACCACACACACACACACTCCCACACACTTTTGTCCGTTTATAATAGAGCGCAACACACAAAAAAGGACAAGAAATATCCTTTGGTTACACTTTCTTTTGAGATCACTAGTTGGGGGTTTTTTCCTTTTCATTTTCTGTGTGTGTGTCTGTGTTGGTGTGTGCTTTTTTCTGTTCGTTTTACAGTTACATCCTACGTAAGTGAGAACAATTGATGTAGCCTTGAGCGTAGTAATTAACATGGTCTACTTCATAACCTAAAATACATAATGGCCGACAACAAATGCATGATGGTTGTTATAATGAGTGTATACCACTACTACTACTACTGCAATTACAGAACACTCATAGAAAACATGTCGCTTTTTCTTTGTGTTGACTAGTCTTTTTCTCTTGATGTCGATTTGAACGAATTTTTTTAATTTTTAAAGGGGAAATAGAAGAGGAAATTTTAAAAATACATTTTCTATATATATTAGTAGGAGAGGAAAAGAGTTACTATGAAATCAGTTCAATTTGAATTCTTCATTATAGTCCACCTGAGGCAATCAAACCTCTATAGGAAAAAAATCATCAGTTTCGAATTTAATGAGGTTTAGCTGAGGCAATTTTTTGTCTAAAAATCCCCAGGACATCAACAGTTTTTTCTATAAAAAAAAACTTCAGTTCACCGAATAAAGAATTGACACGTAGAGAGTTTGTTCCATCATTATACCCTACACAACTATGTTGTCAGGGTATTATAGCTATGTGCAGCCCAAAGAGTTTGTAACGCCGCGAAATATTGGTCATAGACCCACCTTTAAGTATACCGATCGTCATATCTCGACTAGCTGAGTCGATCTAGACATGTATGTCCGTCCGTCCGTCTGTCCATTATAATTTGTAAACACTATACAGGCCACAGTTATGGACCAATCTTCACGAAATTTTGCATGTAGGATGGGTTCGGCCCATTGAAGAACCCTATTGTTTTTGGTAAAGATCGGTTAATATTTAGGGGATGACATGGACCAAAAACATTATTTTTATCGGTTTTTCTGGTCGCTCCAGAGGCCGCAATTATTGCCAAAATATCTCTTTTACATAGAGAAGGGGATTGGGTCAAAGAATAAGCAAAAGACATTATTTTTTTGTGTGAAAAATGAAAGAAATTGTATTGTATGGCGTATATATTTACTCCTGAAGGGCATAGACCCGAGAGGTTGACAACATATCCAAGAGAAGTGGTTGGCCTTTAAATTGATACCAATTATATTGTCGTTGTACTCGGTTGTGGGAGTTACACTTACATATTTACACGTATTACGTATTAAAATATTATTTAGTAACCCATTACAACACTAGAAGGCGAAAATGCAGCGCTTAGCGCATTGAAATTTTCCATGATGATCCAGGTATGGTCAAGGACACGTCTATAATTTTCGGTGATGATCAGATAACAATTTTGGGATGAAGGAGTGGATTGAAAACTTAATTATTTGTGTTTTTCGAGTCGATCTATAGGCTACAAATGAAAGCTCAACATCACAACATAACCCACGTTAAAGGGAATCTGTACAAGTATTGCCTTCGTGTACTGAATATTCGAAATATTTGTTGACATCTAGTCAGTCAATAGGGTGCAAATATTGCGTAATATTGGCCAAGCTCAGAATATATAACCAGAGAAAGTTTCGTAAAAGTTGTGTAGGGTATCATATGGTAGGCCCCATCAGACTATACAGCTCCGCTCAATCCTTAGTTCGGCACACTCTGCAAAATTTTGTGTCGAAGGCAATAAAAGTAATCGATCAAAAATATATCAGAGATATATCTAAATCTGAACTGATTTAAAAGAAACCTTGCACATTCCGGACATTAATTCTGTACGCTATGCAACATTTCGTGGCTATCAGACAAACGTTGGGTCTTTGGTGCACCATTTGCATGCAGTTGGAAGTCACCACCATAAGGTGGAGTGTCTGCGTGAATCACGATAAAGATCGCAATATGCAGCCCTGAATTTTGCACAGACATTGCTATTTAGTATTGCAAATGGAAAATATTGGTCCACGATTTAAGGTAGCCCCAATATAACCCCATACGCCCAATATTCGGTATTTTGGGGATTTTTGATGCGATTTTCATTAAAATTGGCTGTAATGTTGTATCTTGGGTTTCCATCGTATAGCACATTGTTGTACTTAAAATTATTACTATTAAATCAAGTTTTAGGGTAGCCCCATACATCGGTACCCCCTGTAATTTGGTATTTTGTATTCTCATTGGCTGTCAACTTTCTCTATGTAAAATTATCAATATCGGTGAAAATGTGCCTTGTCGAAATATTTGATTTAGATCCCATGTTTCTTTGGACCAAATCCGTTAAAGAAAATTTTGAGTCGATTTACACATGTTCATCCGTCCGTCTGGCTGGTGTGCACGATAACTCTCAAAGGAAGTAATCGATTTCATGCAAACTTTGCACATCTTAATATTTTTTTCCAACATTTTTTAAGTTCAAAGATGGGGAATATCCGTCTACTCCTTCTGGTACTTCCCCCACAAAATGATCAAAATTATGCTAAAAATTTATTTTATAATAACGAAAATGTGTACAACCTATTATCTTTGCCAAGCCTAGATTAAGTCCGAAGATGGGACCCATTATTACACACCTTCTGGTACCTCCCCCACAAAATGGTAAAAATTGTTCTAAATATTAATTTTATAATAACACGCAAACGGACTATCCGATTTTACCGAAATGTGTACAACCTATTATCTTTACCAAACCTAGATCATGTTTGAAGATGGGACTCATTGGTCCACTCCTTTTGGTACCTACCCACAAAGAGTCAAAATTTTCAATATTTATAAATCGAATATCAGGCGAATACAATGTCACAAAGGGACACAAATTTCAACATTCGCCGAATATTGGATTTATAAATATCCAATATCAGACGATTGGAGTGCCCGATTTGTCCCCAAATTTTAACTTTACCAGGCCTAGATCAAATCAAAGGTGGGACCCGTCTGCCCTTTCCTCGGTTACATCGAATTGGTTGTAATATGGCACTCCGGATTGTTCGAGTATAGAAAGCATCATTGCATCATTTTCTAGTATGGTGTCAGATTTTTTGTTATACCCTTCACCACACTGTGGTACAGGGTATTATGTCTTTGTGCATATGTTTGTAACAGGCAAAAGGAATCGAGATAGACCCATGGTTCCTTTTGAGAATATGCATAGAATCACTTTCTGAGTCGATTTATGGCACTCCACTGTGCAAAAAACATCTTTTTGGACCGTCCGTCCGTCTGTTGATGTTAAATTGTAAACAAAGTACAGGTCGCATTTATGATCCGATTTGGATGAAATTTGGCACAGCTCACTTATCGGTTCAGATTTAGATATAGCTCCCATATATATTTTAGTCCGATTTAAGGTTAATGGTGTACCAAAGTCTCTATATATCTTTCGATATGCATGAAATTTGGTACAGCCTACTGAATTAGGTCTAGAATGATGTATGCTAAGTTTCGTGAAAATCGGTTCAGATTTAGATATAGCTCCCATATATAGTTTCTGCCGATTTTAAGTAAATGGTGTACCAAAGTCACTAGATATTTTTCGATTTGCACGAAATTTGGTATAGCCTACTGAATTTTGGTCTAGAAAGATGTATGCTAAGTTTCGTGAAAATCGGTTCAGATTTAGATATAGCTCCCATATATAGTTTCTGCTGATTTTAGGTAAATGGTGCACCAAAGTCCCTGAAAATGAATTGATTTGCACGAATTTTGGCATAGCGTATTGTCTTAAGTCTAGAATGACGCGTGCTAAGTTTCGTGAAAATCGGTTTAGATTTAGATATAGCTCCCCTATATAGTATCGCCCGATTTTAGGTAAATGGTGTACCAAAGTCACTACATATCTTTCGATTTGCACGAAATTTGGTATAGCCTACTGAATTAGGTCTAGAATGATGTGTGCTAAGTTTCGTGAAAATTGGTTCAGATTTAGATATAGCTGCGATTTTAGGTAAATGGTGCACCAAAGTCCCTGAAAATGAATTGATGTGCACGTATTTTTGCACAGCGTATTGAATTAAGTCTAGAATGACGTGTGCTAAGTTTCGTGAAAATCGGTTCAGATTTAGATATAGCTCCAGTATGACCGGATTTTTGGTAAATGGTGTACCAAGTCCCTATGTATCTTTCAATTTGCACGAAATTTGGTATAACCTACTGAATTAGGTCTAGAATGATGTGATGGTTTTAAGTAAATTGTGCACTAAAGATCCATAGCTAGGCCGATTGACACAACGTACTGAAGTTAATATAAATTAATCGGTTCAGATATAGATATAACTTAGCTTCCATATATAATTTCGACTTATTTATGTTAATTGTACACCAAATAATCAATGGGTTTCTGATTGAGATTAAATTTTAAACAGTACAGCGACGTCTTTTCGGATACATATGTAGTATATACCCAAAGTGGTGAAGAGTATCATATAGTCGGCCCACTTCGACTTTACTACTTTCCTTACTGGTTTTTCCCTGGTGCCTTGCCACCATTTCAAAACCTTTAACGTTCTCCAAGGATTACCTGTAACAAATCAACTATTAAAATCTTTATAATGATAAGCTTTGTTTGTTACCTTAGTGTTTTTATTTTTTTTATTATTTTATTTTATTTAATATGTAACTTTGAATGAGTGAATGCATGTGTGTGTGTGTGTTCTTGAGAGAAGTGTTACACAGGAAACAACTGAAACATTCAAGTACTGCCACTACTGCTACTAGGACTTTATCAAAATAAAATAATATGAGCTTTGGATTTCATTCTATGCTATCTCAGAAAAACTCAAGTCT